TTGCATTGACAACGTCTACATCAATCAGTAGTCGCCGAAAGCGCTGTTTCTTTTTTGCTGCTGAGACATTTATTTAGATAGCAAGTATAGAATCCATTCAGAGTCAACATTACTGGATTTTGAACTTCAATGCGTCGCAAGAACCCTGGATTGGAAAAAAATTTGATGTGGGAAATCGTTGCTGTTGTCGAAGGAAGAGAGTGAGAAAACATAACGAATCCATCCGATTCATGGAAGTCGCCAGTTTCACCACATATCTAGTCTATAGCTTCTCATTCTTTTGGAGTCACGTAAGTGGTACCAAGCTTCTGTGGTATCAGTCCTCTCTGTGCAATTCAAGTCGAAAAGTTCTAGCCAGGTCACCCTGAGAGATTCGACTTGACCAATATTCAACGACATTCGTGACGAAAATAAAAGGATCCTTCAATCAGCACCTGAAGGTACAGTAATACTTCAAGTAGTTTTGTGAATGGTAAAAACGAGAAAATGAAGTGACTGCAAGGAATGTGAAACCATAAGAGCGAGATACTTGCTACCTCGTGTTGTGTAATAATAAAAAGGTGATATTGTCGATCTGAAGAGCGCATGTGACGCAGTGATTAGAGGTGCTCCGCGTCGCACACGAGGTCAATGGTTTGATACCGCGCTCATGGCTCACCAACCCATCCATCCTTCCGTGGTTGGTGCATTGGTGCCCGAGTGGTCTCAAACTTGCCTGTGAGGATAAGCAGCACCGACTCGGTTCAGCGGGAGACCACCGCGAGTCATTGTAAAGGCCAGATATGCATTCAATCACCTCAAACGAAGTTAGAAATTGAAGACGAATGCATGGCGCATATCTCAGGAATTGATCAACGCCAAAGGCTTCTTTTTATTGTTGATCCACAATTGAAACTACTTAGGTGTACTCCAATTCCTAGGCGGAGATGAAGAGCATTACACTTTTGATATGAGGTGAAGACGTAGTCTCAGGGCAACTGCTCACCACACTATTAGTGTATCAGGCAGAAGTGGTTTCAATGGAGTATCGTAGTAAAGATAAGGTCCTCAGAGATAAGAACGGCCACTGACGTTGGAAAAATGCAGCAATAAACCACCGTAATCTGAGAATGCTAATCAAAGCAGATCTGTCAACAAAGAAATTCCTCCGAGCTTTTGAACAAAGGGAGCACGAGCGAAGTATTGATAACGAAAATTTATACGGTCAACTATTTGGGAATGTCGTTTTTTTCAGAGCCGATAGCTCAAGTCGATCGTCTTCCAAGGACGACATAACGACGAACGACTGTGGGCATCGACTTGAATCACTAGCTCTGAAGAAGGCGAAGAAGTCGAACATTAGCCGTAAAAATTTTTGTTAACATCCTCGTGCTATTGTCTAAATTAACGAAAAAATCTCCATTGATTAGCAGTGCTGAAGGTAAAGGAAAGTCGGTTTTCTATATACGAGCGAAGGGCTTGAAACTCAACACAAGCCAAACTCTAAGTAAACAAGAAGTGCTTTTACATCATCAGAAGAAGTAATGATGACGCAGCGCATGTGATAAGCTAGGTGGTAATGCTCTGTTTGACAATAACACAAAGTTTAGATCAACACAAGCTTATGATTCGTGACCATTTGGCTGGATCGTAACCCTTGCTTCAATCGTTATCAGTCAAAAATGCTTTTCTCTTTGCTATTGATACTTTTGCCAACTGTTGGTTTCACTCTTTCATCGGCGATAGCGTTTTGAACGATATACTTCAATACATAGCTAGAATCACAGCAAGGAGTAAATCAATGCCAGGAATGGCATTACTTGGGGAAGAAAGTAAGTCGAAAGATGAAATATTCATTACAGTCTACAGAAGCCGCAAATGCTCTCTGGCTCGCTACGTGTTAAGTGTTAACATGCAACGCTCTAGTAAATGAAAACTGCAAGACGGTGTAGTTGAACGAGAATGGGAACGTAACTCATTATTGCCAGCTACTACTTCGTTTTTCTTCTGTTGATTATGCTTTCGTTAGCTGTGGTACCTTCCAAGTGAACGGCCATTAGTCTTGAGCTAGCTATAAAGGCACTTTGCAACTAGGATCTCACTATTTCCCAGCAACAGTAATATCATATAAAGAGGAAGATAATTAGATGATAGCGTCTCCTTATGATTACCAATATCAACATTGCAAAGATAAAGAGGGTGAGATTTGGAGCATTGAATACACCACTTTTGATCTGTTGAAGATATTATTCTTATACTATCAAGCACATCACGATGTAATTAATGTCAATTGACACATATGTTAAATTATCTCATTAGGATGGACTAAGAAAATTTGTATTTGTTTAAAAAGCATTTGTTTATCATGCTGTTCACAAAGAGCGAATAAAGAAATTCTCGGCGTTACGACCCCCTGTGAGATGCGTCAAGTATCGTTGTCAATTCGCATCGTCGTAAAAATGTGTGAACGCATATTTGATCCATATAACGATTTGTGGCCACCTGCCGATATGTCAAGACTGTACTAAGATTTTATCCTGTAAGAGGTAGTATTCTCTTAAACGAGGACTTTAGAAATTCGCCGAGCCTGGTGGAGTGGATTGCTTGGTCATGGCCCGAGATCGAACCAAAACCAATATATGTATTGCTGTTGGGTACCTCAAACAAGTGCACTAGATGCTTATCGAATGGTGCTTGCTAAGGTAGAATACTGAGTTTGTTTCACATTCAATAATGGCAAAACACTAATCATCAGTCGAATATGCTACTCGAATGTCTTGTCAATTTTATTATCAAATTGGGCCGTGTCTGGCACACTGGTTAGATGTAATTTACTGTAATGAATTAGCAAAATTATAAAGCAGTGCTTGAAAAGGCCTTTATAGATTCAAAGCAGTGACTGAAATATCACAGAACTCTGTATGATCTGAGGTAGTTCGCAACACCTTGTTTAAACTGCTAAGCAAAGCGCAAAATAACTTCATTTGCGCTATTGGTCTAGACAGTGATTGCATGAATTTGGCTACGGTATAATTAACCTCTTGTGAATTTTGGGGAGGGTGAATATATCGGCAAAGGGATAGGCCAATCTGCCTCAGTATAAAATAGCACCTACTTGATACGCCTGATAGGATCTATTTGAAACAAACAAAACACGCCGCAAGTCACATATGGAGCACAAAGATACTCCGAAGACGATTTCATTGGAAGAGCCCCTATTCTAGCACAAAAAACCAAATCTTCTACTCCCAGAACTCTTGGAGCATTCCGAATAAATTCTAACAATTCAGAATGAATCGAGAGGAGGAGTATGTATTGGACAAACGTGGTCTCGCATTGTAACTTAAACTAAATTTCTCTGTTCTAAGTCAGGCATATTTTCATCCGTGAAAGCTCTGAGCGGCCGACTTTCGTTGGATAACTAGGAAACACTGAAGGAAGAGAACAGTAAATGTTCAAAAGAAGCTGCTTACTATGCGATGAAAAATCTTCGTGTCGAATTTTATTTGTTGAGGCTGTACAATTGTTTCACTGAGTAGAAATTACGGATCACTCTGACCTTTCCAGCTTCTAGAAGAAGCAAATTTGCCGAAGGATCAGTCAATAAAGTGCTAAGTAAATTCTGCATTTATCAAACTGGTTTCTGGTAGATATACAGAAACTTCCATATGTTAGAATAAGCTTAGAAAAAGTCTACACAAAGTGTTAATTGATGACGACCTTGTAACAAACACTGAAGTGAACTAGTAATCACCGTCGTTTGTTTGCAGTTGAATAGTTGATTATCTATTTTGAAGGAAACACAATGAACTAGGCCAAAAAGATAGCAGAAACGTTCGGTGAGTGACATCAGCCAATGTCAATGTAAACGATAAGTAACTCAAAAGTTATCAAGATTAGGTCGGAGTGCATAGTTCTTCACGCGCGTGTGTTCTGTGCGCCCACGTCGTGGATAGTGGACATAAAATAGCGAATGCAATAAGTTCTGGAATCCACACAATGAGATATATGAGACGTCGCGCCTGAAATAATAAAAAGATAGGCCCCTGTGAGGAGCTGTGGTCTCATCAAGCGCACATAATCTTACTGCGAATGCTACAGAGATTTAAGGAGGCTTTTCTGGAGAACAACCAGATTTTTGAGCTCACCGAAATTTGCGCTATTTAAAGATCATTAACAGTTTACAAAAAAAGGCTTTGTCTCAAGTCAAGCGCTGAAGCTACTTAAGTATACTTTAGCTCCTCGGAAGTGCATGACAATCTTTATATGAGGTGAAGAGGTAGTCACAGGTCAACTGCTCATCAAGCTGTGAATTGTATGCAACAGTGATTTCAGAGTGGATTGTCGTGTTAGAGATAGGGTAATTGTAGATAAGAACAGTCACTGATGTCAGAAAATTACAACAACAGAGTACAGTCATCCAAAAATCTAATCGGAGCAGACCTGCCAGCGAAAAAATGTTTACAACGTCTGGGACGAGTGGAGCATGAACAATAGGTTTGAGACTCAAAAAGTGAATCATCAAGTAAGAAGTAGTAAAAAATTATCAAATGCTTAGCGCCTTTTTAAAAATACGTATTGATCGCATAACTTGATCAATTGATGGTGATCCATGGAGTTTTTTTCTAATTTCAATGCTCTTCAAGAATCCTTACAATGAGTAGACTAATACCAGAAACGGTAGCCGTTTTGAAATAAAACTTGTCAGAAGATGGGATACTTTCTTCCATCCAGAGAGCAGCAGTTGCATGCGTTGGCTTTTTACATACAAGACTGTATTGTTGGACAAGAAGGCGAACCTGCACATCATCGGCGCTTACCATTTCGTGTTCTTTCGCTCGATTAAGCTTTCCATGGCTATAATACCCTTTCAAGTATAGGCGATTTTTCATGAGGAGTAAAGACACTTTAGTGATCATATGGAAGTCTTTCTATTTAAGCGCTTTTAGCGGCGTTATAATGTCATAGATAAATCTAGTGATGTAGAATGATGTTATAGATATATCCAGTGATTTTGAATTCGCATTAGGGGCGGAACTCGAATCCGCATCTCACCCTATCCGGGAGCGCGTGCTTTAACCCGCTGCACTACTGGCGCTCATTTTGTTCACTACTCAAGTAGAAACACGTCGAAAGAGTGGTGTGCAAAGTAGGCGTCAGTGGTGCAACGGGTTAGAGCACGCGTTGCCGGATAGAGTGAGATGTGGGTTCGAGTACCGCCTGACGTGTGAAAGTTTTGCACATTATTCTACATCACTGGGAAAAGACGCTTTGTAAACAGAACTTTTCTTCTTTTCAACAACATCAATATCGAGATAAAGAGAGAATTCACATGACATCGCTTCCTTATGGTCGCCACTCTCAAGATTAATACTTGAATTTTCTAGTATTTATACCGCTTTTTCCGCAGTGTTACGATGTAACTATATACCTAAGAGAATTGAGTGGTAAGCATCAAACCCGCGTTTCATTCATCCGGGGACGCGTGCTCTATCACTACACCACCGAGGCACATTACCCGACCACTCATTCTTCAACATCTCTATGTTAACTATCAGTCACCAACGATAACAGATTTAGTCAGGTATGCGATTTCGCTCTACAAACTCAGTTGAGCTTACAGCCAATCGCACTGAATTTGGCATTCAATCAATTGTATTGCATTGTACAAAGGGGATCACAATGAAAATCTTTAGTTATGCTCTTCCCTAGTTTTATTAAAGACCCAAGAGTCGTTATATTGAATAAAAACTGGAAAATAACTAGGAAGGTGACAAAATTACTAAGCATGCTGTATTCGATGCTTGTTCATCAAAAACTCTCACTATAACTAAGTTGATATCAATCATTCGTTCATTTCCGATTGTTCAGAGTTGACGTAAGTGAGAAAGGTTGAGTACTTATAAATAGTAGAGGAATTGTAAACGAGAAGGGACAGTCGTTTTCGAATAAAAGGCTTAGAACATCGGCATTATTTAAACTATTGGTCAGAAATATGTGTCGTCAGAGAAGTATTCTCGGTACTTTTCCTACCAGCGCCCATCTTCAAAAAAGGTGTTTCTTATTTATTTTTGAGGTTTTAGGAATTAATCGACAGTTGAATATCAAGAGTCTGAAGGGTGTCTTTTGTTTTTCAAGCGGTTTCGTACATCAATACTGGGAAGGTGAAGTAAGAATTTTGGTTCTCATATGTAAGACGCGATCAATATTAAGCCGACCTCCGCTGGGCAGGAACTTTTCACAAAAGTGTTAGCAGTTATTCGAGAGCCTAAATCTTTGGCTATAACTCCGCATGTCTGATTTTGAAGATTCTCTTTTATAACGTTGTAACATCTAGGATAAAATTTTATTTCTCACTCGCTTTTCGTCTTCATTTTTGCATGCGTACAAATCACTGGAAGCACAAAAAGCATATCAGTGTATAGAAAGTTATCGATAGCATCAGAGTCTACGATTTCACCTGAAGCTTCTGTCGATGTGGTGAAGAAATCCCCTATTGAATAACAATATTTCAAACGCGATCGCTCTCTCGTCACCGGCCCCGTTCCACCGCTCCGTGAGTTGGCCGGTAAAAAGTCGCCGAAAGCGTTCATAGCTGAATGTAATGTAAAATGAAGCCGCAGCAACGATTTGTTAGTAAGCCAATCGCTTGATCTGCTGCGTGACTCGATAGTGATCAACCGCGCCATGTGTTGAAGCGGCAGCAACTATTGTTAATTTTTTGGAGATTTTTTCACCAAATCGACTGAAACTTTGAATAGGAACGTAGATTTTGATACTACGGAAAACTCCCTACACGCTAATATGCTTTTCGTGCTTCCAGTGACTTATACTCGCGGTAAAAATGAGGACGAAAAGAGAGTGAGAAACAGAATTTTATCATGGATAACCGGTGACGTGGAGTTGTGGCTAGAGATTTATGCTTCCAGTAAATTGCTAACACTCCTATGAAAAATTCCTGCCCAACGAGTAAGATCGGCTCAATAATATGTTGCCGTCTAACATATGTACCAAGTTTTCTTCTACACTTAAGCATCTTTCGCTAGACAGAGGTTTCATTCACACTTTCCTAAACATTCGATGGCACAGGTCTCAACGATCTCAATGATAAGCCTGCTTCTGAGACAGACCTTTTAATGCGTTCTTCAACTAAAAGATTACCGAGTTTCACACTCGGCACAGCGTCGATCGCGCCGCGCAATTTACATGTGGCGTGCGGTGCGCGCCGTGTGTAAAACTCAGTATTCTTTTAGCTGTAACGATGCAGTGAGATGTCTTTTCTAAGATCTGAACTATTGAATGGGTGTAAAAGTCTGAGAGAAAAGCCGTGTCGAGCACAAAATACTAGATGTGCAACACAATATTATTAGTGTTGCTACAACTCGTAAAGAAAAATTTCTTTCTGAAAGACAGGCATAATTGAAATTCTCGAGATTTGTACTATCGGCAGGTTATTGAACGGCGACGACTTTATGCCAATATTACAATATACGTGCACATACTGGTGGAAGGCATACGCGCCGCATGTGAAATTCAATCGATTTCAGTGTTGCAGTGCAATAAAGATATTTCTTGGTAAACCAAGATTACTGGTGAATTTAGCGAGATTTGTGTAATTGAAGATTTGCTGAATTTATCGAAGAAAAGCTTTGCTTATCGAAAAGTGTTTAAATGTTTGATAACATTTTCCTTTCAGTGTTACAGTGTAATACGAAGACCTTTCTAAAAATAAAGTACACCTTTCAATTTTTCGAAATTTATGCTATCGAATAAGTGCTAAAATGTTTGGAAAGAGAGAAAAACATGTTTTTCGAATATGAGTGCTGATAGGGGAAGGACCGAATCATACGCAATGATAATGCGCGCTCTTCCTAAACTTACTCGAGCTACATATTAGAACTACTACCACATAGACCTCTATCAGAAAAGTTTGGTTGCAAAAGCTGCGCTTGCATACCACGTTCTCGCAAGACAGGCGATGCAAATGCATAATGGGGTTGGAGGCTTATTTATTTTTTCCGGTGAAAAATGAAGGATTTTGAGAGAAGTTATCATTATTTTCATCAACAACCTTTGTGAAAGGTTCATTCGTGATAATCCATTCTTTATGTAACGATAAGATACCTCCGACATATAAATTTCACCTATAATTACCAATAAAGCATTTATGACGTCCAAGCGGCGGCGTAACATTCTAGGTGTGGAATGTGATCTTCTTCCCGTTTTTACAGCGCTCTATGATAACCTTTCAAAAGACCAATTGCAATACTAAAATGCTCGAGATTTCCGCTATCTAATGACTAATAAAACTTTAGTGAAGAACCGTATCAAAACTCCAGCCGAGCAAGTGAAGAAAACTGTGTTGAAACATGATTTTACTTTTGCTGCTGCAACGTAATAAAAAGTATTTTCTTAAAACTAAACAGATCATTGAAGTCGCAGAGTTTTAAGCTTTCGTAAGATTATCAAACGTCTATGAGGAAACTTTTATACGACGAGAAAGGCCTTTAAACAATCGTGTGCCTCAGCTGGTACACATTGTCCCTTAAGGGTTAATATCGCTCTTTTGTGACAAATACAAGCAGTATACAATGAATGCTCGTTAACAGCGCGTGTTGAATGGTTATGTTGCGATGGACGTAAGAAGAATCACGTTTATGCGAAGCAGCTTAGTTTTTTTATGTCATTCATGCACACAAAGGAACGGATATGAATAGAGAATAAAGCACGTGGGGTTAAATATTTCCTAATGTCGTGTCTTGTATTCGACTTCATTCGCGGCACTGTAGATGTGAAGGGACGCTTATCCACTCCACACAGACTTGCGGTAGGCGACTAATGTATCAAGTGATGTCATCCTTCCAGACAACTTTGATACCGATTTTCAGACCTTCCAAGTGCAGAAGGTTTTATGAGCTTAGCTTTCGGTAGGAATATTTCCAAATGCGTGGCCGTGCGTCTATTGCACATGGTCTAGTGAAGATTCCACCAACATGATGAAACACTCTGCTTCAAAGCGCAGCGGAAAGGAAGCGTCGAAGTGCTGAAGGTGCGAGTCTGATAGGACATAGATGATGTTGTGAAGCAAAACAACTATCTAATTCTCATCTCTTTGAGTATAATTTGTCTAAACATAAAGTGTTTCTAGAATCAAATTACTTCCAGATCCGATATTTGTTTCTAATTTCAATGAAATTTATTTCTCATTGTAAAAGTACTCACATTAAAAAAGGACAAAGTCCTCGATGTTGATCAATCCCTAAGTGATGTGTATGCATTCGTCTTCACTTTTTAGTATTATTTGACGTAACTAAATGCATATTTGGCCTTTACACTGGCTCATGGTGGCTTACTGCTGTTTCTAGTCAGCGTTGCTTTTCCTCGCAGACAAGTCTGGCACCGACTTACTGGCTCCAAGAGGATGGATAGCTTCGTGAGCCATAAGAGCGAGGTCGAATTTTCGACCTTGTATGCGGCAGAGGACCTCCATCACTGCGCCATAAGCGCTCCATATACTCATATTAATGGATTACTATGCAAACTTTTCCGAGACTATTGCTGCATCTACAACATAGTAACCAATATCCATCAATTCTTTGACGATTGCCGAAAGGTCGTCCTAGTATATAGTTCGTTCGTTTATTTCTCTAAGACAAGAAACATTGTGCACAGGAAAAACAAGAAGCAGTTTTCGCGAAGGAGAAACTTCCAGTTTAGGCGGACTGAAAATGATTTTCACACAATGAACCGGATGAGAAACGTGAGCCCGATATCTTGCAACGATCAGAGTTTGATCAAACTTCGAGCTTCATTGTTATTCACCGTCGTTGGAAGCGGGATGATGACATAAAGTGGAAGGACATAATGCGGTAACGAACATTTACTTCAGAGAAACACCAGCAGCACATGAACCAGTTCACAACGGGAAACGAGAAAAGGCAAGAACGATGAAACTGAGCAAATATGAAGTGATAGTATAAAAAAAGAGAACAAATGTCCACAACATATAATGAATGCGAAGAAATGCATATGTAACAGATTTCATACGAAAATATTACTGTACGTCATTATATTCATATCAAAAACGCCACCATTTAC